GATTGAGGGGGGAAAAAAGCAAAAATAACGCTTACACATGACAACACAGCAATAAATCTTGCCTCAGCAAATATGATGATTAATACATTGGGCACCCCTCAATGCATGCGAAGACGGGCCTAGACATGATGTACAGCTATTTGTTGTTTACACAGTGATTAATGATATTTTTTCTTTTCAAAACCGGTAAAAAAGAAGCTTACTGTGGCATACATTTTGTTTAAAGAATTATTTTTCTTTTCTTTTCAAACCGATTAGATATAATATAGTACACAGTAAAGGTAATGGGGAAGGAATCATGGCCTAAAAATGAGCCCACAGAATAGTGAAAGGCAAACATGAGCAGGGAAACTGAGCAAAAATTAAAGACAGAAGAAAGGTGAAAGTTACAGTCTAGTTATATCTAGATCTGTTATCAATTTGCGGCGGCCAAATTTTGCTATTCAAAAGGCTTTTTAATGGCTGCATCGATCGATATGCAGTTTTGGCCAAAAGATTCTTTAAAATATAATCCAGATCATGAAGCCCTCCATTTTTTCAGTTTCGAGACAGTTTTGCTGTGAAAAGCTAAATTTCTTTATTTCGCCGATCGCTTTTGTAGGACGACCTGTAATTTTAGAAAATCCACCAGGTTTGTTTATTTCAAGTCCTACTTCCGTTCGATACTATCGTGCAATACTGAGCACTATTTTAATTGTGCAATGTGCGCACTGATGTTTGGAGAGTATAAATCTAGACCTAATTTTTTGCATCTCTCAAGATTTATTGCTCCATTCCAGTACAAGAGTGTAAATATAGTAGGCCAGTGACTTTCAGTAGATGTTAAGGCACCGATCAATCCTTTCATCGAAAGGGGGCCCAGCTAGTATAATATATTTGTGAAAGTTCGTCCCTTTGGTTGCCTAAAACGTCTGGACCACTTAACTTTCAAATTTGAAAAAATTAACTGTAGTTCAGATTAATTTAAAATAAAGGGTGCCCAGTTATAATAAGGAGTCTGAAGTCCCTGTAGTGTAGTTTCCAGTTTTTCATTAGTTTCATTTAGATCTCATCTTGGGAAAGTCTTCTAAGACGCCATTGTAAACAAGCGAGTTTTCCTTCACAAGCAGTGCGCAATGATTCCACAATGACTTGGCCATCGATTCTTTTGAGTTCGTTAACATAACAGGTACCCAGCTAGTAAATAAATAAGTTGTAGTGTAGATTATAGATAAAACTCAGTCACAACGCATTTACATTTCTTTTCAAAATTAATGAGAGTATTTATTTATTGTGTTCTCCCTCCTCTCCCCTACTAGACTTCAGAAATAGTTAACATAATAATTATATACACAAAACTTAGGTATTTTCTTCCCTTTAAACAGCTGCTACCCAGTGCATCTTCGAAGACATTGTTAATGATAGACATAGGCTGTAGATTGTTCTGACTGGGGCAGGGATTTATTTAAATATTTAGCCCAGTCAAATTTAGATGGAGAAGTGCGCCTGGCTGCTTTGTTGACTTGCACAGCTAGAACTAGAAGACCATTCACAACAACAAATGTAAGACCACATAGCTCTAAAAAAAAAAAAAAAAAAACACACAACAGGAAAAGGTGTGAAAAAAAAGACAGTCAGAACCACATCAAGAAAAAGGAAACTAACGTGAAGCAATGTTTATGATACACTTTTCTAGCATTATATACTCTAAACAATAAAACAAGTTGAAATGTAACCTTGAAGATTACATTCAAAACCATACCACAAAATATACTTCCATCTTTTTTCTTTAATACATCTAGTTCCTCCTATTATGAGGAGCCAAAGAAAGTTTATCCCTGAGGAAAGTTATATCCCTGAAAGAGTACATTTACATGTAAACACAGGAATCATTTCCAACCCTAGGTGTATGCCAAAAGGCAATGATGCAACATCACTGACACCAACATAGGCCTAGATGTTACAATATAATGACTGGTAGATGATGCAATAGAAGGTAAGTGGAAAACATTACCAGTCAGTGAGCTGGCTGGAAGAGCGCCCTGCAAAGCTATCTTGCTGACAATGAGGATAGGATAGCCAATAATCATGAAACTTTAGATATTTCGATACCAGCACAAGATAGGGGTCAGGCAGACCCTTAATAGATCTTTATTTTTAGCTAACAGGCTTTGGGTCCCGTTAAGGCTAAGGTTTTAGTGTTATCAGATTTTAAAAAATCATTTGGTTCTTGAGCCTCCCTTTAGGTTCACAAAATTTGGAGTTGGTTCTGTGGTACTGTTTGATCTTATCACCTTCGCTTTTATGAGATTACAAATTGGATAACCAGCTTTTTTTTTTATTACCACAATATATTTAAGCAAAAGTTAAAAACAAAAAACAAACCCACTTTCAAATGGTCGCTTTTAAAAAGCTCAAGGGGGCTATCCCTAAAAATGCTGTTTTGAGAAAATCAAAGGTAAAGTTTTTGCCCCTTGTTCAGTTGC